AATTAAATACGTTTTATAAATTAAATTTTTTCTTAAAAACATATTTTGTAAATACGGTTTACAATTAAAATTGGATATACATTTTCGGCAATATGTTGTTTAAAAAACTTAACAAATTTAATTTGAAAACGTATTCAAGAAATACGTTTTTCACTAAAAATTAAAATTAGGAAAACGTATTTTGTGAATACGTGGTTTTTATTTGGTCCCACTTATTTTTTTTCTTTTTTGGTCCACTTATTTTTCAATTTTTTTTTTTAAATAAATCACCCTACATAAACTCACATGAGGTAGGGCCCATCTTAATAAAAAATTTTCATATGGACCCTCTTCATGTGAAAATTTGTACACCTCCATGTACAAATTATTAGTAGTACAACAACCGTTTATTACACGGGTGCTTGTTAAAAAATTATTCTTAAATTTTAAAATTAATGAGAAACATTATTTTAAAGTTTATTTACTTTTTTACAAAAAAAATATATATTATTATATATTTTAGAATGACATTTGTTACTTGTGCGACTTACATGTGTTATATTATAGTAATTTTTATAACTTATATCATATATTACTTGAAATATAAATATATTAATTGATAAATAGTTTTATTTTTCCAATTATTATTAAAAAATTATTTTATTATTGCTATAAAGATAAAAATACAATTTATTTTTTTATACATACAATATGGATGTTAAATCGAAGCTCATCAAGAGATGATTAATTGGATATATTATATATGTAAAACTGATAAAAAATAAAAAAGTTATTAACTTTTAAATACATTTACGATTCAATAGCTATAATAAAAAATGCTATTAAAATACAATTAATTCATGTAACATGACCATAAATACTCAACATATTAATGGATAATCTGAACCCAATTATTTTTGGATTGGAAGTAAATTAAAATCTACCCAGGCCTACTAACGAACCATGTAATTTTGCCACATAGGAACCCGAAGCATGCAAGTTTGCTACTTAGGCTCAGGACGTTTTGAATTATTATATAGGGGGATGTACAAGTAGAATATTCTTGTTTCCATTTGGTTGTGATATATATANAGAACCGCTATTTTTAATTGTATGTAGTGCTATGATTAATTGTGTTTTAGTGCTATTTTTAACTAGGATGTATTTGATTAAAAATAGCAACAAAATTTTTATTAGCATTTATGAAAATGATAGCACCATGTAACCAAACAAATTGAATTGAAAATAATTCTAATAAAAAATTAAAATAAATTGTTAATGTTTATGCAACTGTCTCTTTCCTAAAGAAAATGATATGAACTTAACCAAAAAAAAAATGATATGAACGTACCGAAATCTCGGCAAAGCATGGTTAAGAAAAAAACATAAGAATCCAAAAAAATGATCTGCCCCGCGACCTCCGATCTGCCACAGCCTCCTCCGCCCCGCCACTGCCGCCGCCGGCGAGAGCATCACCGCCACAGCCGCCTTCATCCCTACCTACCGGAGCGTCCTCGCCACCATCAGTTTCCATTGACCGACCGCGGCCGGAGAATCGCCGCCGCCAGCACATCAACACAGTGGACGTCCGCTTCGGCCACTCGACTCACGACCATAAAAAACTACACCAATGCGCAGCTCGTCATAGCCCCGTCTTCACCAGCGCCCCACGGCCACCCTACAAGCTCTAATTCTCTCCGACACGGCGGTGAATATTAAGAGATTTTGTCGATTTCATTACCTGATTTCAGAAAATCCGGTAAGATGAGGACATAACCAATGAGAATCTGTACGTCATCCTGGCCGGGCGATTCACGACGACGAGGACGACGGCCAAATTGGCTGGGAACACGGGAAACAAGCTTTGAGTTTGAAGACTTGATTTTGAGAATTTGACATTTCAAAGGGCTCTAATTGAAAATTTGAGAATTTTTATTATATATCAATTTGACCCCTGGGTGAAATCTACAATTTATGAAAAATATATAAAATAATATTATTTTTATATATTTGTTACACATATATAAATTATGTCATTTTTAACCAAAAAATAATAATAATAATAAAGAAAATATATAAAAATATTAAAATACCTAAATATAATTTTTGTAATAATAAGTAATAAAATATTTCATCATTTTAGGTTAATGCGAGCAATCAACCGAATAATAAATTTATTTCAGTTCATTTTAGTTTGAATTTGAACATAAAAAAACTCAATTTTCATGCACAATATAATTAGTCATTTTGCACATTAGTGGATGTCATATTGCACTATAACTGCACATTGATGTGTTCGAAATTAATTTATTTAATAAATATTATTATTTATAACATATATTATTATATAAATGTTAAATAAAAGTTCAAAATTACTAAATATATTTTAATTACATGAGTTATATAATAGTGTAAAATAATGTTAATTAAAATGCACATTATTAAAGTTTCTCTAGAATTGAAATACACATAAAAAAAAAATACCCAATAAATAGAATGCATACAAATATTATACTAGATGCACGTTTGTGTATGTGTACTTGTACTTTATTGATTTTGGTATTTCATATATTATATTTTTATAAAGAACAAATTATTCTGATTATATACGATAATTCGGTTAACCGAACCGAGTAAACCACTTAATCATGTTCAGTTTTAATTTGATTTATAACAAAAAGTCCGGTCAGTTCAATTGGCACAATATAGACCGACATTGTGCACCGTAGTGTTGGCCGAAATTCACATTAATAACCGATAGATTGTACATTGTATTTCGTTTACATATATACCATTTTTAATAAAAAAAAATAACATATAATATTTAATATTTTTGCACCGTAGTGTTGGAAGAATGGCACATTAATAACCGATAGATTGCAAAGTTTACATATATATATATATATATATATATATATCACCTTTTAATAAAATGAATAACATATAATATTTAATATGTTTGCACCGTAGTGTTGGACGAATTGCACATTAATAACCGATAGATTGCACAATATATTTCGTTTACATATATACCATTTTTTAATATAAAAAAACATATAATATTAAATAAAGCATACTAAAGAATAAACACGTTTTTAGAATAAAATAATATATTTTATTTCGGTTGTTTTGGTTATTTATGTTAACCAACAAATTAAACCAATTACGTCCAAAATTTTTAGTTCGAATTATTATTTTTTGTTTTGATTATTTGTTTACTTTTAATGCGCATATCTATAGACAAATATTGTGAAAATCACTTATCAATAAAAAATGGCGTATTTATCAAATTTTTGAGAATTTCGTATACATATGACATAATTTTTTTAAGTGCACATCTAGACTCAATATTGTGCATCTAATGTGCCATTATTGTGCATAAATTAATATTTATTAAATTATAAATTACCCTTAAATAATAAAATATACATATATTAAGAGTCCAAAAATTACAAAATAACCCCCTAAATATGTCTAATTTCCCAAAAATCAATTTAGCACAAAACAAAGAAATACGGTCATCCCACTGCCCAATCTGCCCCAAATTCGCCGCCACCAACAATCAACCGCGGGTCGCCGTCATCCCGCCTCAACCGCCGCAATCCCACCCACGACGTGAACCACGATTCAGCCTGAGCATCCACCTCGTAGGGCTTCTCGCCGGAACCTCCTGCGGAGAAGGAGACGGGAGCATCTACAGTGGACATCGGATTACAAACGCGGCAGAGCGCCGCCCATTCAAATTCGTAGCGGCGGCCGAAGGGCGACACCGGAGACCGAAACCACGATGAAGACCCGGACGGCGGCACGGCGAGGCACGCTCTGATGTGCGGCAGAGGCACGACCGGAGTAATCCCTGAATCGCGGCAGTCTCTGGCGGGCAACGGAGGAACAGCGGAGACACACCGGAGGTATGCCTGAAGCCAACAGAGGCACGACGACAGTCTCTGGCGAGCTTGGCTTCTGTGTGTGTGTGTGCGCGCGCGCGCGCACTGAGTGTGTGCGTGTGTGCAATGACCGGCTTACCCCTATTGAGTAGTCAATATGTACATTTGACTATAATGTGTATGTTAATTTACCATATTGCCATTAATGATTGACCAGATATTGGCTTAATCATAACCATTGATTTGATGTATCTAATGGTACAGAATCATTCTCATTTATTTCACTATCTATCATTCTCATATGTACCAAATATATTATATACCAAAAATTATACATTGCTGCAATCTAATAATTTTTGTTGCAATATACTATATCTATATGCCAAATATGTTATATACCAAATATATTATACACTGCCAATATATTATATACCAAATTTAAACCATGTAATTAATAAAGGTAATAGCCGTAACATTTGGCTAAAATGATTATATGCATTAATTACATTGACTTTTTTAATTTGAATTTCAAAAAAAGACCGCCCAAATTTCATTTTTTTTTAAGTTGCTAATAAATGTAAAAATGGATTATTTACATGGGAATTCAGTTACTATTTCAGGTATATTCTCAAGCTCCGGTGAGAATGGTGCTTAATGAAAGAAATAAGAATATATCGTAGCCATTAGATCACATGATCTAATGGCTTGTAAAAAACAAAAAATATACCTTCATTAAGGGTATCACAGTAATTTCCTACACTACAATCAAACAAGTGGGTCCTACTCCACATTAATATACCTTCACCTATAACACTAACAACCGATCAAACAACACACACTCACCCCACCTACCCACCCCACACTCTCTTTCTCTCTCTTTCTTCGCATGCATAACACACACACACATCACACACACAACACGCCGGCAGTCACCACCTCTCGGTAACCCCACTCTGCCTCCGACACTCTGCTTCTGCACGCCTGCCGCCACCTTCCAATAGCCGTCAATTACCGACATCACCCGCCTCAGCCGACGCCGCCTCCTCCCCTGCCGAGCTCGAGGATTGCGTCCTCCGGACGAGATCTGAAACCAAGCTCGACAACCTCTATAGTCCGCCAATTTCCGTCGTCCCGTCAATGTAAGTTCGACGTGAATTCGACCGTGAAGTACCTCGTCGGCCCTTCTCCGACCACCACGCGCCGCCCAACCTTGCCAATGTAGGAGCACGTGGCCTCGGTTTCGTCTTCCTGGAGAGCTTGCAGACCTACACTTATCGCCGCCGTCTCGCCCACGACATCCGTCCGCCGCTGCCGTAGCCGTCGCGGCCCCGTTCCGCCATCCGACCACCGTAGTTGTCTTGGTCCGCCGTCCGATCCGCCGCCGCCGTCTCTTTCCCGACGTCCGCCGCCGCCGCTGCCGTCCTGAGAGAATTGCTCCACCAACTTCAAGATTGTGGGCATGATTTTGAGAATTAGATAGGGTTGAAGGACTTAGTTGTAATTTATAAATTTTTTGTTATATTTCAATTGAGCACATTGGGCCAAATGTATAATTTCGAAAATTGTTTAAAAAATATTAATTTTATATTTGAATTTTATACATATATATAATATGGTTTAAAAAAAATAATAGAAATATTAAATAAAAAATTGAAATGTTAATTAAAATATTAACATTATTGTGCAATATAATATTAAACATTGTTGTGCAATATAATATGGTTTGATAAATGTATGGTAATGTTAATTAAAATACACATCATATAATTTTTTTCCAAAATTGAAATGCACATAAAAAATACACGCTAGATATATTGCAATAATGTTATACTAGATGCACGTCTATGCATGTGTGCTTGCACTTTGGTTCTTGCACTTTATCGAGATCAATATTTCGTATTATATATATTTTGATTACATAAATATTTGATAAATGCATAGTAATGTTAATTAAAATACACATCATTTAATTTTTTTCAAAATTGAAATGCACATAAAAAAATTCACGCTAGATATATTGCACAATAATGTTATACTAGATGCACAGCTATGCATGTGTGCTTGCACTTTATCGAATTTGGTTTATCGAGATCCATATTTCGTACATTATATTTTTCAATAAAAAATAATATAAAAATAATAAATGAAAATAGTAACATACCAAATATATTTTAATATAAATAATAAATTATTTTTATTATTTAAGATAATTCAATTGACCAACCGAATAACCTAAATATTTAATTTTCGTTTCCATTCAATTTGGGACAAAAATTCGTTCGCATCAATATGCATAATATCGACCCACACCGTGCACCTTTGGGTTGGAAAATTAGCACATTAATATCTTCTAGATTGCACATTATAATTTGTTTATATAGAATATTACATCTCTTAATAAAAATATAATATAAATTATTAAATAAGAAATATTACCACACTAATAAAAAAAATTGTTTTAGTATACTTTTTATACATATGTATTAATTAATAAAAAAAATGATTAACAAGGACAATATTAAATAAAAAAATATATCTCAATCATTTAGTGTTTTTCGATGCATAATTATATCTACTAAAACTAATTTTCGAATATACATAATTTATCGGTATCGAATAAAGTAGCGCACGTTAAATATTGGTAGACTGCACTTTATAAAGTAACACGTTGCACTTTATCAAGCAGTACACTGCACTTTATACAATCTAGTCAATAGCTTCCGCTAAAATACCACATCATAAATCTAAAAAATGTATATACATAATATAATTTAACATCCACCACATCATCAACACACAAAAAACACGAGCATGCTACCGTACCCCAATGTTCACTTTATATATTTACACGCTGCACTTTATATATCTACAAGTTGCACTTTATAAAACAACACGGTGCACTTAATCATCCGTACACAAAAAACACTAGAATGCTATCTACACAAATGTGTACTTTATATATCTACACGTTGCATTTTATAAAACAACACGATGCACTTTATAAAATACACGCTANGATTAAATATATTTTATAATATAAATAAAAAATTGTTTTGATTATTTATGGTGTTTTGATTAACCGAAATAATAAATTGATTATGTTTGTTCATTTTCAATGTGCGAATCATAAAAAATGAATGTACTGTGAGTGCACAATATATAATATTAGAAGATTTGCACATCATTAACTCTCGAATTACATAAAAGCTACTGAAATGAACGAATTAAATTTTTGGTTTGAATTACATATTTTAGTTCGATTAGCTATATTTATTTTTAAATCACAATTATTTTATTTCGATTAGCTATATAATTTTATATATTGTAATTGCACAATAAGGGTATACGATTTGCACAATACTGACTATTAGAGTGCACAATATCAAATTATTTCGACCAAACTAATAATTTTAGTTCAAGTTTTTAAATATCATTTTAATTGCCATTTTCTTTAAAATCTAAAAACCCGATTATGCTGGGATATCAATGTTTTTTTTTATTTAGATAACCGGACAACCGAACTATATAAAAAAATATTAATTTTATTATTATAATTTTTTTATGTAAAGTATTATTAATTTTCAGTCATAACAAATACAAAATACTAAACATTAAATGAGGTATTAAAATATTAATTATATTTTGATTATTTACACATTAACCCATGAACTCAATTGTAATATACAAAAATTGTTGAAACTACACCTATGCCCCTAAGACTCTTCAAATTTACAAAATTAAGTCTCTATTCTAAATCTCAAAATAAATCCGTGTCCTGCACATTCATGATTCATCTCAGCCCGTTGAGGGCCTTTCACTTTCCGGCGACAACCTTTCCGATGTCAGCCACCTCCATCATCGGACACCGCCATCGTGACTGGGAATGGTAGACGCGAATGTCATCGTGGTGCTCGACTGGACTGCTTCACCGGCGGATATGGCGACAACGGCGACGGGACAGGCCGGGGAATACGGCGGCGACGGGCTGAGACTTCGTCGGGTTTGAGACCTGGTGCGTGACGTGTTCCAGCTAGGGTCCAACTGAGGACGGTGGCTGCATCGATTTGTCTGTCTGAGGTCTGGACGTCGAGTGACGAGATGGCGGTGATTTCGACGGCGACTTCAACGGCAACTTCGGCGGCGACTTCGACGGCGACTGCGGCGGCGCACTGGTGGACCGAATGTCTGTGTGAATCGTTTGTGTGTGTGCAATGTGTGATGTGTGTGCAGAGTGTGTGAGTGCGCGAGTGTGTGTATGTGTGTGTGTTTGAGAGAGAGAAACGAGTGTGTTGGGAAGGAAAGAGATGAATTGGTGAGTTATTTAGGGTGGGTCCCACTGGCAATTGGAATTGTGATAAAATGACATATTTATCCTTAATANTTTTTTTTTTTACAGAACGATAGAGATATTATATAAAATGCACAAATGTGCAAAGAGCAGCCACCAGCTGATTACAAAACAGCCAACAGTTGAATACAAACAGCCAATAGCTAAAACGTGGGAGGACAGGACAACAGCCCGCCTAGAATCGACCCCAACGGGGTAAAACTCATGAGCACTAAAAAACACAATAAAAAACAACAACACAAACACAAAGGCCCCAACAGGGTAATACCGAGTGTCGGGCCCCAACAGGGTAATAAAGGTGACACTCGGCCGCACAGAGGCCAACGGCCCAGACCTAAAACATAAATACAACACGGACACAGAAACAAAAACACAAACACAGACAACACAATACAGACAAAACACAATCTAAAAAAAACCAAAAACTTCTAAAGACGACACATAGTGCCCTTCCCCAGCAAATAAAGCAGATTGAACCAGTAGAGAACCAATCAATCCAAGAAAGGTCCGAAGCCCGAGGCCCAACTTCCGAAACTGCTGCCGAACGCCTATACAAAAGCCAAACCCGGACCACGAGACTAACCCGAATCAACCCACCTTCGACCGAGAGGACAACCAACTCCCTGCGACAGCCCCGCAGTAGCTCGCCTAACACCACTAGCCGAGCTAATAGGCGCCGGGCCCACCAAGTTCCCAATACCAAAGAACCGGATGGAAAGAGAGCTACCCGTACCTGCTACTCCCGCACCCGAACGGAATACATCACGGCCGTCGGAGCCTCGAACCGCCCGCCAACAAACACGCCTCTCAACACCACCGCAGGCCGCTGCCATCGCGAGCTCGAGCCCCGAAATCCAAACCCAGAAGCCCAACCTGAACCGATGAACCTCCAAGCATCGACCCGCTGCAATTGAGTGGCTAACCATCCAATCAATGACCGCCGGCTTCCAGGGAAACCACCCGCCTCAGATCGAACACCACCGCAGTCACAGCTTGCCGGCAACCTTGGGCAGAGCACACATCAGAGCGACCCTTAGCAGCAAAATCCAAAGAGGCGCGATAGCGGGGACGGCCGAGCGGTCGAGGGTGACCACTGTCCTGAGCCGCCCCTTCGCCGGAGAAGGCTAACCGCAGCGAAATTGGATGTCGGGAGCTAGGGTTTTCGTCGGGAAAGCAAAGAGAGAACGAGAGTCACCAATTATAAAAATTAAACTTTCAAACACTTAGGGGGTGTTTTGACATATTTATCTTTAATAATTAGTCAAATACATATATTTGGCCCTAATATGTTAACTTATTAACAAAAATGCCATCCCTGTTTGATTGCTACTTTTAGTATTTGACTTGATCATGGCCATTGGCTTGATGTATCCAGTGGACTACAATCATTCTTATTTTTTTCACTATCACCCTTTCTCATATTGTCTTTTCTATATATATGTATATATAGATTTTAATATTATTTACTTAAGCAATTGTAAAGGGGTTTAGTCTCTTATTCGTGAAGCTGCTTATGGTGTGTGTTTCAACCTCTACCTTTTCTATCTGCATTAATGGAGTTGTGAGTGGAATTATTTATCCTTCAAGAGGAATCAGGCAGGGGGACCCTCTGTCCCCCTATTTGTTCATTATTGTCACTGAAATGTTATATGCTCTTATTTATGATTCACTGCAAAAAGGGTGTATTGAGTGGGATTAGGTTGTCTAGAAATGGACCAGCTCTATCTCATCTACTTGTTGTAGCAAATTATATTTTTACCGAGTACGGGATGACTCCCGACCTCGGGTCGATCTCTCGAGGAAGGCGGTTCGGAATTTAGCTTTGGTGTCGATTACACACGAAAAGAAAGTAAATCCTAAACACTCTAATCAGATAGCAGATTGGGTGAATTATTAACTAAGAAATAAAATAAAACAATCATCTACCTAAAAATATAAACGGAACAAAGATGAAGAAGCTAGGGAGTCGGAGATAATTAATTCAAGTTCTAGCAAAGCCGGGCAGTTAATTGTTCGGTTCGAGATTGACACTCTCGCTTAAACATCTAGCGGTTCGCTCCCAATAACTTTTCGTAACAAGGGATTGAACATAGACGAACAAGCTCGAGCATACAACACAGGCCAATTATCCCAATCCCAATAACTTTTCGTAACAAGGGACGGGTCATCGACAAGCACGTATTTCAATCTCAACCCATAGATTATTCAGCTACGAAATCATCTATCTCATGCGAGCCTAGGTCTACGACTTCTCCCCTTTCGGTTCTAAAAGTCGCTAATTCAATTAGAAGGTGTTTAATCGACTAATCATATGGAATCAACAAATCCTAACTCGACATATCAATATTCAATCGTTACCAATTGCAAGATCGAAGTTTCACCCTTCGATTATATCAAACTATCAAGCACAAATTCATCAATTCCTAATCAATTCAACTCACATAAGCATGAACAATCTTGAGCCCGACAAATGCACGTTAAACAAGAATAATCATCACCTATCCCTAGCAATCAGACTTAGCTACGAATATCAAATTCAACAATCATAATCATTCCTCTCAGATAACCATTATTCATGAATCAAATAAGAGAAGTGAGTACTTACAATCAATCCAAGTTCCAAAGTTGAATTTGAAATACAAGCTTAATCCTTAGATGTAGAGAAGAAGAAGAAAAATGGAAGATAAAGGTGTAAAGAAAAGGAAAAACAAAGAAGAAGAAGCAGAGAAAGGAGTTCTGTCGTGGAGTATCGGGCCTAGGGTTTTTACTCCCAGGAGGGGAGATTCTTTTTTTGTTGGTCCCGTACACATATTTATAGGCAGTCACGAGTCACGGGCGTGGAAGGCTGGCACGGTGTGAAGGATCCATATGGCGCAGCGTGGAGGGGCTGCCGCGGCGCGAGGAGAGCAGGCGTCGCGGCGCGGTGGAGTGCAACGGCGCGGAGGGATGTTCTGGAAAGTCTCTGTCCAGGCGTGGGGCTGTTTCGCGCCACGGAGAGGGTCAGTGCCGCGCCGTGGAGGGTTGCCGCGCCGCGGAGGGGGCCAGTGCCGCGCCGCGGCGCGCGGAGCTGCTGGCTCGGCTGCGCGACTTTTGCGTTTTGGGCTCGTTTGGGCTCGTCCGAACTCGGAATTGGGTTCCGTTTTTTCCTACGCGTAGCTAACGAATCCCTCTATTCAATGATGCTTTCATGACCAGATTTTGCCAATAGTACAATCCTATAGAGTTTTCCAACCTTCAAACGTTCGGCAGCTTGCTGGACTTTACGTTTCGGCCCCGTTCGGATTCGTCTGAACTCGGAATTGAGTTCCGCTTTTTCCTACTTGTAGCCAACGAACCCATCTATCTAACCATGATTTACCAGCCTATTTTCAAGCTAAACTTATTCCTCACGGGCTTCTGACCTGCACACCAAAAACAAGAAAAACCGGAAAAACATAGAGAAAACACAAGAAAACCAAGATAGAGGAAAACACGCAATAAACTACAAAACGAGATAAAAACTAACTAAAAAAACTAATATGGGGGAAAAAGAAAGGAAAAATAACAAGGAAAAAACGCAACAAAAATGGGGCAAACACTACTCTTTGCAGATGATGATCTACTTTTCTGCAAAGCAGATACTTATCAAGCTCATGAACTGATGAATCTGTTGGAGAAATATAGACTGTTCACTGGGCAACACGTAAATCTCCAAAAGTACTCTGCTTTTTTCAGCAAGAACACCAACACCTATCTTCAGAATCAAATTTCAGCTGCACTGAATGGCATCCAACTCCACACATACACAAGATACTTAGGGCTACCTCTGGGAATTGACAGGTCAAAAGCAGAGGTTTTCTCTTATGTCTTAGACTCTGTTAAGGCTAAACTTTGGAGCTAGAAGAAAAAAATGTTATCAATAGTTGGTAAGGAAGTTCTTCTCAAAGCAGTGATAGATGCATTACCAGTGTTTACAATGTCATGATTTAAACTTCCTCAGTCTATCTGTAAAGCTATTGCAAGTCTCAGTGCACAATTCTGGTAGTGTAAAGTGATACCAAAGAGAGGGGAATCCACTAGAAAGACGGGCACTTCTTGACATTGCCAAAGGAGGAGGGAGGTATTGGTTTCAAAGATGTGAGCTCCTTTAACAAAGCCCTCATTTGTAACCAGTTGTGGAGGCTTGTATCTCAACCTGAACTTCTGATGAGCAAAGTCCTCAAAGACAAATACTTTCCTTCTTGTTCTATCTTTGAAGCCACCAAAAACTCAGTAAGGATCTTGGTTATGGCACACATGGCTGAACTGCTTGCCAGTTTTCAAGCAAGGACTCAGAACTGAAATTAGAAATGGGGTCCTCACCAGGATTTCTGACTTGAATCGGGTACCATCTCTCCCTAATTCAAAGCCAAAAATGTTAGACATTGCTCACGGTCATTTCACTTGGGTGAAAGAGTTGTTTCAGGAAGATGGGGCAGGATGGGAACACTTGGCTAGTTCAACAGTTATTTAATGCAGAAGATAGTCAAGCTATTCTTAGCATAGAGACTATTAATCCTTCTAGGAATGTCAGAATTTACTGGTGCCTCAACAAGAAAGGGACTTTTTCAGTCTCTTCAACATATGCTCATCTTATTAACCAAAAAGCATTGATTCTTGATATTTCAGGTACAAGTGAAAGCCCATTTGTGGCTAGAAAAACAAGGCTTTGAAGATGGAACCTGAAAGTTTCAAACATTTCTTATGGAAGTGCCTGACCAACACCTTACATGTAAACACTAATCTGTTCAAAAGAGGACTTAATGTTGATGTGCTCTGTCATTGCTGTGGTGAATCTCCAGAAACCATAGAACATTTATTTTTTCACTGCTCAAGGGCTCAGAACCTATGGAAATTGGGACCCCTTCAATGAGATGGAGTAAGTACTGTGGGCAGCTCCTTCAAAAGCTGGTGGTGGCATCTCTGCACCATCAGCAAAACACAGGTTGTTGAAGATAGAATCTAACTTACCACTTACCTTCTGTGGTGACTGTGGAAAAGCAGGAATCTATGGATGTTCGAGCAAGTCACAGTGCCAGTCCAGGTGTTGAGCAAAAGGGCTCATAAGGATTGGCCGGAGTTTAGGGCAGTGATGGACTAAGTATTTGCTTTGGTATTGTATCAGTTTTTCAGTTCTGGTTTTCTAGTTTCTCTTTGTCTTTGTAGTTGTTTGGTTTATGAAGTTGGTTGGCAAGCTAGGCAAGTAGTGCAGTGGTTATGCTGTCCCTCTTCTTTTTTTTGGTTCTATTGGTGTGTTTTAGGCCGTTACATGCGTGT